TGCCGGCTGGGCTTGAACCACGACACCGTTTCAGGTGAGCCTTTTTACATGGCAGCTCTTAGTTTCTTTTGGCACCTTACCTCTGCCTCCTGAAAATCCATGCCCCCAGGCAGGTCAGGGCCATGGGAGCCTTGGCTTTTCAGGCATCTCTTGGGCTGAGGAGCATCTGGCATTGTCCTCCAGCAAGGAGAAGGGTGATGGCTGTGTTCGTGGAGCCCCAGCAGTGGGCAGTCAGGGCTGCAGGGAGCTGAGGGTCTTCTCTGGGTAAAAGCATTGTCACCAGTTGAGCTTCCAGTGTCAGAAATGCCCTTCCTGTGCTTCCCAGGCTGGGCTTTGGATTAGCATCCCTGGGTTCAACCATCCCAAACTCATCTCCAAACTTGAAGATCACCAGCCACAGTGATGTGGAACTGTTTTCCCATTCCTGGTGGTGTTTCCAAGTGCTTTTCCAAGCATTTGGTAGAGGTGCCAATTCTCCTACTGTTACAGGGCCTCTGGGAGCTAGGGCTTTAGAGGTGGGGACTGGCTGACACAGGAGCTATCCAGCCCCACATGCTGGGCGTCCATGGCACCCTGGCTGTGCCTGGGGCAGGCGAGGGGCCAGGGCTGGTGCTGGCACCGTCCCTGTCCCCATGGGTGCCCAGAGCCACACCCTGGGCTGTGCCCAGCTCCTCTCCCAGTCCCGCTGTGTGTCACTGCAGCACTGGCGGCGCTGGCTCGCAGCATCCTGGTGACGGGCTCCAACCACGGCATCGGGCTGGAGCTTGTGAGGCAGCTCGCTGCTAGCCCCTGGCCCCCGCAGCACATCTTCGCCACATGCCGTGACCCCGACGGGCCACGAGGGAAGGTCAGTGGAGGTGCGGGACACGGGGATGGTAGCAAGCGGGGCGGGCGGTGGGAATGTGCAGTGCCCACAGCCCTGCTGGCTCACTGCCCTGGCTGCGTTAGTCTGGCCGTGGGAACAGGGCCGCTCTGGTGAGATCTCATAACCCCCAACCCCCTGACCTAGCTGAGTGGGATGAGGCTGGAGGAGCCAACATGGTGCCCATGTCGTCAGTACTCGCTCCTGGCCATATTCATGACCAACCAAACCCTTCTCCATGCTGGGATCACCCGGGACAGGGGCAGTGCCTGAGGCCAGCACTACCCTTCTCCTCGTGGCCACTGGGATGCCCTGACCTCTCGGAATAGCTCCGCATACTTTCCCAACAAAAGCAAAGGCACTGTGGCCCGGCTTGAGCTGGGGTGACCTGGGAGCTGGGGCGGGAGCAGGGCCGTGCTGCTGGTGACTTCTAACCTCCTCACTTTGTTTCCAGTCCCTGCAAGAATTAGCTGCACAGCAGCCCAGCGTCAAACTGGTCCAGCTAGGTATGGAGCAATCTCCCTCCTTGCACCCAACGTTGCTTCTAGCCCTCTGCTTGCTTGAGGGATGGATCTGGGGGCACCTTTGCTTTAACACAGGCAGCCAGACAGCTCCAGCCCTGCTGGTGCGGAGGGATCTGTGCACATCTGAGCAGGCTTCCCCCTCCAAACAGAGCTGTCCTCTGGCTGGAAGTGGTCAAACCGGCTTTAGTGGCAGGCAGAGGTGGGTCTGGACACCTTGGCTGAGCAAGTTTCAGAGGAAAGGCATGAGCTGTGTTCCCAAAGATGCTAAATATAGTGCCCGGGTTTTGGGCTGGGACATGAAGGTTCGCCAGATGAACCAAGGCAGGGCATACCGGATGGTTCCTAAAAACGAGGGTTGGTTTGGGGTCTTCTTGGAGATGGCCATGGTTGGTATGCCATTTCCTAAAGGATGCATATGGGGAATCTGGTCCTGTGGTGGTGGCAGTATCCCAGGTTGATGCTCAGACCCAGAAACATGCTCCACCCAGAAACATGCTCCACTTTGGAGCCCAGCCTGGGTAGATGGCCTTTCATCCTTTCCCTGCTCCCATGGAGACAGGCCAGATTCGGTGGCCCTTGTGAGCAGCACTGGAGAGCAGATGGACCTCGACAGCACAGGGAACTGGGGATGGAAAAAGGAGAGCAGCCAGGGCAGCGTTTGGTGTTGCCAAAGTTGGGGTATTTGCAGGCAGGAAGCTTCTAGGGTGCTGGGCAGGGATGGGGGCTTAGGCACTGGAGTGAAATATGGGGAGATAAAGAGCACCAGGATGAGGAACGTGGTTTCCTGCAGATGTGTCTCAAGTAAGCAGACAGCAGTCTCTGAGAGAGCAGGAGCTGCTCGCAGCCCCTCTTACTATTAAATAGATTGTTAAAGTATGACACCTTCTCTGTGATAAAAAATAGCATCTTGAATATTACCTGTGATGGGAAAAGCACATTTACTTTGCTCCCCAAAGCATGCCCAGCATAAAAGGGACATCTCAAGGGGCTGACCACTAAATAAACCTTCACTAAAACACAAACACCCCAAACCCCAGCCTATCAATAAAGTCCCCAAATACGCTAAAAAGCTATGGGAAAAAAAAAATAATCCAACAGCAACAACTGTTTAAAAACAGAAGCTGCTTCAGGCTGTCTCTCTCCATCTTGAGGAAAGGTTGACTTCAAACCAGTAACAGGAATGCACTTTTCAGAAAGGAAAGTAAAAAATTAACTCCAAGATGCCAAAGACCTGTCCCTTCCTTTTGTTCTCTCTCTTCCTTTCTCATCCTTATCCTCTCATTTCTTCCAAGGAGATAAGAGTTTGTTCCTTCAGCAGACTTGGCTGGCCTATCACCAGAAACGTGCTTGTCTCACATGCCTGGCCCCTTGGAGCGGTGACTCAGCTAGTCCAAACAGCAGTTAATCGTTCACCAGAGCAACTGAAAGATCCCTCACACGTGGTGAAGTGATGGAGCCTTGAACTCCGATCATTATCCAAAGTCACTAATAAAAATCCTGCAGTATATCCTGCACCTGGCCATGTGCATCCTCTCGAATCCCAGTGCTCCATCCCCTCACATACAGCAGCCCCGCAGCAGATTATCTCATCAAAATCCACCCAAATGTTTTCAAGACACCTCTGGGTGGGTCTGTGCTGCACAAGGCAAGGTGGTAACAAGTCCCAGGCTACTCAAATACTTGCTTACAGCATAAGGACACCAGCCTAGTTCAGCATCATAGGACTATAGAATCAACCAGGTTCGAAAAGACTTTCAAGATCATCAGGTCCAACCATTCTCCAGCACTGCCAAGGCGGCCACTTACCCATGTCACTAAGGGCCTCGTCTACACAGTTTGTGGACACTCCCAGGGATGGTGACTTCACCACTGCCCCGGGCAACTTGTTCCAATGCCTGACCACCCTTTGGGGAAGAAACTCTACCTAATAGCAAATTCCCTCAAGCTTGGCCTGGTGCAGCTTGAGGCTGTTTCCTCCTTTCCTATCCCTTGTTCCTTGGGAGAAGAGACCAGCCACCTCCTGGCTCCATCTTCCTGCCAGGTAGTTGTAGAGAGTGACAAGTCCCCCCTGAGCTTTCTCTTCTCCAGACTAAACCCCCTCAGGTCCCTCAGCTGTTCCTCATCACACTTGTGCTCCAGACCCTGTACCTGCTCCGTTGCCCTTCTCTGGACCTGCTCCAGCACCTCAATATCTGCCCGGAAAAACAGATCAATCGGTTGCTCATCAGTGTAACAAAACACTCCAGGAAGGGTGTATTCAGCCTTACAAACCTTTGCTAATTCAGTCTTGTATAAGCATAAGAACAGAAACACAGCTCGGGGGCAGATCTGTTGCAAAAAATAAATCCATCTTTGTGATTGCCTCTCCAACCCAGAAGGCTCGTCAGATTAGCACCTGCAAAACATGTGTGTGAAATGTGCATGGGAGCAAAAGCACACTCCAGCATGCCCATACACATGGTTCTGAAGGGCTTGGTGGTGTACTAGGGTTACTAAAAGGCAATATATAAACTTTAATGTTGGTCAAACTAGTCCATTTCAGATCCTGAAGGTGTTTAGATGACTCCTTTTAAACCAACAATGGCCACTTCAGTGGGGTGAGCACCTGGGAGGGGATGCACATCCTAACAAGAAAACCCAAAAGCTGACCACAAACTGAAAAAAATCAGAACCACAGCCTGGTTTGTGTTCGGAGGGACCTTAAAGCTCACCCAGTTCCAACCCCCTGCCATGGGCAGGGACACCTTTCACTAGAGCAGGTTGCTCCAAGCCCCATCCAAGCTGGCCTCGAACACTGCCAGGGATGGGGCAGCCACAGCTCCTCTGGGCAACTTGTGCCAGGGCCTCAGCACCCTCACAGGGAAGAACTTCTTCCCAAGATCTCACCTCAATCTCCCCTCTGTCAGGTTAAAGCCATTCCCCCTTGTCCTATTCCTACAGGCCCTTGTCCAAAGCCGCTCTCCAGATTCCTCGTAGCCCCTTTAGGCACTGGAAGCTGACCCGCTGGAGCTCTCCTCCCCTTTGCTTTCTGCCTCAGCAGACACCGTGAACTTCCCCAGCACCCATGGGGCCATGCAGGCTGTGAGGTCTCATCTGAAGGACCAGGGCTTGAACCTGCTCATCAGCAACGCAGGTGTCAGCTCGCACGCCGGATTGTGCTGCCTGGATTCCCAGGAGATGCTCTCCATGTTTGCCACCAACGCTGTCGGACCACTCCAGGTTGCCAAGGTACCTTTTGGATTTCTCTTGCTTCGGGAGATGTTCTCCACAGCAAAGGTGGCCTCAGTTGGTGGGTTCTGGCTCTCTCGAACGAGCACAACTGATGGGGCAAGACCAGGACCATGGGTCTCCTCTACCCACCCAGAGGAGCAGGGAGGCAGCTCAGCCCATCCCCAGCATCTCCAACGCTCTGCTCCTCCCCATCTGGAGCTCCTGCCTGTTTCTTCCTTGGGGAAGGGAAAGGCTTGAGCCTGGCCCCTCCTTGGGGCGTCCTCCCCGTCTGCTACCCTTCTGCAGGGGGTGTCTGTCCCATGGTCTGCAACAGAGACCTCCAGGGTGTTCCTGAAGCTCGAGGCTTGTCCCATGTTAACAGAGCATCCGTGTCTTTGGCCAGGAATTTCTGCCGCTCCTGGAGAAGGCAGCAAAGGGTGCGGGACAGGAGGGGCTGACCTGCAGCGGGGCTGACCTGCAGCAGGGCTGCCATCATCAACATCTCCACCAAGCTGGGCTCCATCGGGCTGTGCCTCGGGGTGCGCCAGGCCCCCATGTACCCATACCGTGCCAGCAAGGTGAGGAGCTGGAGACAGTGCTGGGGATGCTCTGCATGCCCAGGGCCCACGGAGGGGAGCCCATGGGGTGACCCAGGCCACCCACTCCCTGCCTGGTTCTCCCAAGCATCAGCTTGGAGACCAAGACAGCAAGACCCAGCACTAAGCCTTTCAGGGGGGTTGTGCCAATGCCGTACCCAGGGCCAGGTCGCATCTCCCACCTTCTGTCTGGCAAAAGTCCCCCTTCCCATGCACCCATACCCCAGGTCATGCTGGCACAGCACTGCCTCTTCCAGGCTGCCCAGAACATGGTGACAAGGTGCTTGGCTGCGGAGCTCCAGAACAAGGGGATCTTGTGCATAGCCATCCATCCTGGCTGGGTGAAGACTGACATGGGGACGGAGAAGGTACTGGGCTGTGCAGGGGAGGGTGAGGAAGACCCCACTGTGCCTCCAACTCTTGGGCACTTCGGGATGTTGTGGGATACTGTGAGCTGCCAGGACCATCTGCCGGTGTGGAGAAGCAGCAAGCTACAGTGTGCCAACTGCACAGGATAACCAGCCCTGTCCCCCCAGCCCGGCACAGAGAGCAGGGGGATGGCAGTAAAGAAAATACCTCCATGATCACTGTGGGTGCTGCTTCCCAGGCTGTGCACCCTCCCATCATAGAATCATAGAATGGTTTGGGTTGGAAAGGACCTTAGAGCTCGTCCAGTTCCAACCCCCTACCACAGGCAGGGACACCTCCCACTAGACCAGTTAAAACAAAGCTAAACCAAAGACACTGCAGCATCCTTCATGCCCCACTTGTCAGGGGTAGGCTGAGCCACGGTGTTCAAGAGATGATGGTGACACTACTAGAGATCTGAGGACACTTAGTTTTCCAGCTCACCACAGAGCCTCCCTAGCTCTAGAAATACCCAAAATCACATCTTGAGAGCACTGCCTGTCCGAAACATGTGTGGGTTTGTGAGTACACAAGGTCCTTGTCCAACTGAGAAAGCACATGAGGATTTATCTTTCCTTGCAGAAGCAGCCCTGACATTAACCTCACCCACCTGCTGAAACAGGATCTCAGGCATCAACCGCCAGGCAGCTTTTCTTGGCGAGGTTAAGGACCATCTCTCAAGAACATAGAACAGCTTAAACTGGAAGGCACCTTAAAGCTCATCCAGTTCCAGCTCCCTGCCACAGACAGGGACACCTTCCACTAGACCAGTTTGCTCCAAGCCCCGTCCAAGCTGGCCTTGAACACTGCCAGGGATGGGGCAGCCATAGCTTCTCTGGGCAACCTGTGCCAGGGCCTCAGAACCTCCACAGGGAAGAACGTCTTCCCTGTATCTAACCTAAATCTCCCATTGCAGTTTAAACCCATTCCCACTTGTCCTATTGCTACAGCCCCAAATGCAGAGACTGTCTCCAGCACCCTTGCCGTCCCCTTCAGATACTGGAAGGCTGCTCTGAGGTCTCCACGCAGCTTCTCTAAAGGTCATCTCTGAAGGCCGGCTGCTTTCCGTGTCAGTCACAGCCCATGGCAGTGATGCTGCACCTTGTTCCCTCTGCAGGCACCACTGACGGTGGAGCACAGCGTGCAGGGCATCCTGACCATGCTGGCCAGCCTCTCACAGGACACCACTGGAGCCTTCCTCGACTGGGAAGGGAACAGCCTGCCTTGGTGATGTGCAGACGGACGGTGCCTCTTGCCAGTGCTGCGGCCTCCTCCTTGCCGGTTCACCTCTCTGCATGGTCACCCTGCTCACCCTCACGCCAGCGAGATGGGAAGGGCGTGGGAAACAGCTTCTCCCCCCTTCCCCACCCCATGCGTGGCCCTGCAGTCCCCCTGTACCCCTCACCTCTGTAAACACCGGGAACTAATGCCTCCTAGTTCCATCTCTGCATCCCTAGTCGCAGCCTCCCCACTGACTGCCTGAGCACCGTGTGTCCGTCTGTCCTGCCTCTGACCAAATCATCTCCCAACTGAGGGGAGAAAGCAGCTGGTCCCTGTGACCCACAGCACCTTGGGGACCCCAGGCAGGGTATACACAACCCTGGGGTGCCCCCAACTGTGTGGGAGGAAAAGCAGCCCCGTGGATACTCTGAAGATCTCTCCCCTTCTGGGGGACAGGCTCTGCCGCAGATCTGGTACCAGGCACCAGGGACAGCTGTGGGTTGGGTGGGCCATAGTGGGCACGGCCACACACCAGGATAGGGGTTGGGGTGCCTGAGAAGGGGCTGCCCTATGGAGCTGGCAGTGCACAGCAAAGCTGGTGGCTCTTGGCAGGGATTTATTGAGAATGAGGGGGTGGGGAAGTGTGGAAGAAGCAGCACAGGGCCCAGCTGCCAGGATCCAGGCTTGTGTCTCACCAGGGCACAACATTCCCTTCCCAGTCCAGGAAGGTGCCGGTGTCCTTCTCAGAGAGGGAGGAGAGTACCTTCAGCATCCCTCGCACGCTCTCATCCACCGTCACCGGGGGCTGTGGGACAGAGGGGGAAAGGCAGCCCATGCCTGAGGCCTGGCTAAGGCTGCCCCAGAGCAGGGGAAGGAGCTGCTCAAGGGCAAGGGGAAAGCCACCAGCCCTGGACAGAGGGGCTGAGTAGGGAGCCAAAGGGATAGGGGCACCAGGCACCTGGGACCAGGGCAGGGGGAGGTGCCCCAGCAGCAATGGGGCAGGCAGGGAGGTCATGGTCAGGAGCTCAGGGCACCACTTCCCTCCCATGGAGAATGAGCACAGGGGCTCTGGTGGACCAACCATGGTGAAATTCCTACCGTGTGTCCGGCACAGCTCCCCATGTCAGTTTGCACCCATCCAGGCTGGAGAGCAGTGCAGAGGACACCATCTTCCTTGTACCTCAAGGACTGGCACTTGGTCAGCATGTTCAGAGCAGCCTGCAGGAGACAGAGCAGGGATGGTGGTGGAGGACAAGGGTGTCTGCAAGGAGACATGTGCAGACCCTGTGGCAGGGACAGGGTAGGGGAAGCAAATCTGTCCCCAGCATGGCATGGTGGTACCTTGCTGCAGCGGTATGAGACAATCTGCATTAGATCCCAACCGTCAGGAGAAGAGATGGAGCCTCCCTGACTGGATATGTTGATGATGGCTGCCCTGCTGCAGCTCAGCGCTGAGCCTGGGCTGGCCTGGGCAGCCTTCTTCAGCAAGGGCAAGAAAACCTGCAGGGAGAAAGAGGATTCAAGGGCACACACAGAGGTGGCACAGGGGCAGGACCAGCTCCTTCCACAGTGGGCAGTGCTGGCACCAGCACTGGAGCATCCTCCCTCCTTTTCCCACTGCCCCAGCCCGCCAGGCTCCAGCTCCTGAGCCCCAGCCTGCAGCTCCACGAGCTTCTCTCATCATGTGGAGCAGAGGCAGGACCCTCTCCCACCAGCCTTTGGTGCTCCCTCAGGACAGACCAGCTTGAGATGATGTCTCACCTGGCACATTAGCAGTGGCCCAATCGTGTTGGTGGTGTATACGTGGGTCATGTCCTCCAGCGTCTCCTTATCAAGCAAGTTACACTTGAGGATTCCGGCATTGTTGATGAGGAGGTTGAGCCCCGAGCCCCCCAGGTGCTCCCCGACTTGGGCTGCAGCTGCCTTGATGCTGGCAAGGTCGGTGACTTCTGCGGAGCCGACACAGGGAGCTCAGCCCCTCACCCTGTGGTGTCTCAGGGTTCCCTGCGTGCCCCAGGGCCGTGCCCTTGGGGCTGCACATGGGCAGGAGGGACACAGCACCCGGTGTCCCGCAGCCACCAGCCCTCCACACAGCTCCTCGCGCTGTGGGGCTCCCGGTGCACAGCGCCCAGCACTCGCTTGGGGGACCAGCTCAGGGCACCTACCGAGTGGGATGATGACCAGGTTGCGGTGCTTGGAGGCCAAATGATGCAGACACGGTAGGAAGCAGGGTCGTGTGGGCACGGGGAAGCAGGGGGGGCAGGGGCAAGGGTCGACA